CTGCCGCTCCTCTCCTCTCCTCTCCTCTCCTCTCCTCTCCTCTCCTCCTCTCTTTTTCTTCTTTCTTTCTCTTCCCCACACTCTCTTTTTCTGCGTTGCTGCTCCTCTCTCCCTGCAGTTGCTGGCTCCTGACCGTGGGACTTGGCTGAAGCCCAAAGTCCCTCCTCTGCACTGCCCAACCCTGGGGGAGTGGTGATGGAAGCCACCCCTCCAACTCCTCCTCCTCCTCCCGGGCCTCTCTCTGTGCTGCTGGTGGAGCTGGTGGCCGAGGGCAGGGGTCTGGGTGCCCTCCCCGAGAGCCGTGGGGGGCCAGGGAGGAGTTCAGCCTTGGCTGCCTTCTGAGGGGTGACTTTGGAGGAGATGGGTGAGGTCTGCATGGCCTTCTCCATACGGACAGGTCAGGAGAGCAGCAGCCCCCAAACACCAAGGGTGCCCTGGGCAGGGCTGGCGTGTGGTGGTGCTTGAAGAGCCTCTCAAAGCATGAGAGTGATGCAAGCCATCTGCTACCCTGGCTTTGGCAAAGCTTTGGCTGCCACCTCCCACCTCCTTGCAGCTGGATCAGGCGACACGGGTGCTAGAGTGGGTGGAGGATTGCCCAGACCCTGGGGCTGGAGGAACTGGGAACTGCAGTGCAAAGTCCAGCTCATCACTGGGGATGCCCTTTATGGGACACACTGGGCCTGATAAAGGTCAACACATATGTGAACGACCCAGATGATGGGACAGAGAGGGAATTCTCTCAGCAAGTACAGCCTGGGAGAGCCAACAAGGGCTGAAGTCTGGGAGTCTGTTGCCTTTTGAGTGCCCACCACATTTCAGATGGCTCCACTGGGAGCTCCTAGGAGGCAGAGCTGTGCCAGGCCTGGACTTGCTCGAGCAGCCGATGGCTGACTGCTCAGAGTGCTCAAGGGGTTCCTCTCACACCGTTTGTCGTGACCCACACACTCAGATGACAAGTGAAAAGATGGGAAATGTGGTCCCAAGAACATCAGTGGACATTTCCTGATCACCCTTTATCTGGTTCAATTTATTTTGACCTCCACCTTTATGAACTTCAGCTGAAAAATATCCACAAAGTGACAAAGCTGCAACTGGAGAAATGCACCAGCTTTCAGGAAAAAAAAAATACTACACAAACACACACAGAGTTGACAACTTTCCAAAAAGCCTCTGGATAGATGAGCTTTTTCTCTACCTTTGTTGGGCTGCACACTAGACAGCTTTTAGAAATGTTCAGGCAGGTCCCAGCAGGCTGATTGCTTTCCCCTGACACCATCAGATGGATCCAGCCTCACCAGTGGCTCGTTCTGGAGGAGCAGAGCCTCTTGGAACAGCACAAATGCCTGTTCCTCTCATTCCCTGGCTGTCCGTCTCCCAGGCTACAGCAGAGATGGGGCTGGTGAAGACATCAGAAACCTTTTCTCTTTGGTGGCCTCCTCTGAGCCCAGAAAACATGGTCTCAGGGCCAGCCCCGGGCGTTTTTGGTCTTTCCTTCCCCTCCTTTTGTCAGCCCCCCTTTTGCCTGTCTCATCTTCACTTGGACCATCTCCCGACTGCTTCAGTGCTGGAAGGGGGCATGGGGAGCAGGGAGGAGACCAGCCTCACACTTGCCACTCGCCCTGGCCAGGCCCTGGCAGCCAGCAGGACCCAGCACCTGCTCCACTCAGACATCTAGGGGGGTTGAGCTGAAAAACTGAGAGCTGGCTGAAGCGCACGCTGGCCGAGCGTTGGAGTGCTGGTACCACAGCCAGGTTTGAGCACAGCTCCAGGGAGCTGGTGCAAAGTGTCTGCCCAACAGAGAGCTGCCTCCTGCCAAACTCCGCCTGCAAAGCTTCCAGGCATTAAACTGAGGAAGGAAAATAGCACCAGAAGCTTTCCTGACAACGGATGAGCAGGAGGTCAGCTGAACAATGGAATTCTCAGAACGATCTCAGCCATTAGAAAGGGATTTTAAACAATCGTAACAAAGCAGTCGGCGGAACTGAAACAGCCAAAACTTTCATAGTTACTGTTGCCACGACTTGCTGCCAGCCTTCCAACACTGCAAAGAGAGCTGTTCTTCAGGCTTCTCTTCTTGAAATTCCCTGGGGCTCCCTCCCCTTGTTCCTGTATCAGCCACAGCAGCTCACTCATCACCAGAGTGAAGCTTAGTTGAACTTTATCCCATCCCATCCCCTCCCCTCCCCATGTACGTCCCTGGTTCCTATGAAGCAACTACTCTGACCTTGATCCCAAACCCGAGGTGGGTCTGGGCCCATCTCTCACCCCAGAGAGACACCTTTGTGCTGGAAGATGTTGACCCCCATGCCTTTAGCCAGGGTGGGCTCAGAGCACCCTCCCTGGTGCCAGCAGAAACAACACCAGTTTTCCCCAGGTTGAAGGGCAGGGAAGGGGCTCAGGGCGTTGGCACGAACGTGGCTGTTGGACACCCTCACACAGCACCAGGCACGGGCACTGGCTGTGCCATGCCAGCCGTGGGAAGCACCTGCAGGGGGGCAGCTCATGAACATGGGAAGCTGCTGCAGGTGGGCAGGTCATGGACACGTCTGAGTGGCCCAGCAGGGACAGCACTGGGGACACGGTTCCCATGGCAGAAGTGACACGAGTTCAGCTGCCCCTCGACGGAGGAGCCTGACTGGAGAATTTCCATCCTTGCAGTGGGCTCCTCCAGCCACTAAAACCCACGTGGCTTCTGGTAAGCTGCAGAACCCAGAAGACTCCTCTGGTTTTGCTCACTAATGAACCAGCACAATTCCCAACGGTCCCAATGCTCCCTGAGGAGCTCCGAGGGGAAGGAACTCATGGTAAGAGAGAGCAAAAATAGTGACTGACAGAAATCCAAGGCCAGGAGGGAAGCCCTGGAAAAGGCAGCATGGTCTGGAGGGCAGACTCGCTGGCATGGGCACCTGGGCTGGCAGGCCAGGCTGGACTGCAGATGAAAACGTGGCTGGTACCCCCAGGCACAAGCTGAGGGTTGTTCTGTCAGGCAGTTCATGAGCTCCTGAATTCTGCCCTTTGTCCAGCAGTCCGTGAAGGCAGCAGCAGATGAGCTGAAGGACTCACAGGGATTCCGTTAGGCATCTATGAATAACTTCAACTGCAAAACTAAACCGTGCGTTTGTCCCAGCACTTTTTGCCCAAATTAATCCTCTTAAAATGAAAAAAAAAACCTCAAACATACAATTTTGATGATCTAAAGCCTCTGTTAATCATCTGTGAGAGCAGAGTGTGCCTGCTGTGAGGGCACAGAGTTTATTCTCTTGCTGTTTCCATGCAGAACGCACGTCGAGCTCTCAGCAGCAATTTCTCCTGGTTTTAGCTGCACTTTTTCCTGTCAGCATAAACAAGGGCTGGAGTACAAGTCAGTGTTCAGAAATTTTTAATCAGTGTGCTGGGCAGAGAAGGTTTTTGTGAGTTCCTCTGACAGGCTGGTTGATTTCTGTGTGATGTTCCTCGTGCCAGTTTACGCTTCACAAACCCCAGTGTGGGCTGGAAATCAGAATGGAGTTATCTTTTTTTTATGAACACGAAACCCCCAAATAACTGTTTTGATTTGAAATATTGGCTCGGTCGTGCCCACAGCTTGATTAATAACAGTGGGAGCATATGGAGTGAGATAGAAATTAGAAATTAAGAAAATGCAGGCGAGATCTTATTAAGGAGTGTTTAGCCAGTTGGTGGCCTCTGGTTCTCACCCCACACGAGACGTGGGTCACTTGTGCCAACAGCAGCTGCTACATTCTCACAGCAACTGCACATAATAAGCTCCTTTTCCTGTGTTCATGTTTTTTTATCTTCTACAGCTCTGTAATTTTGGTTCTGTTCAATGCACAGAGCTCCCCATGCTCTTTCACCCAGGAGGCAGCTGTAAGCAGAGACCTCTCCACAGGAAGAACCAGAGGTGGTGGCTGCAAGGAAGACTGACCAGTATTTTCTGTGTGGTTTTTAAGCTGGCCAAGAGATGGAGCGGGTGCCTAAGGCCATGTGGTGCCATGCTCCGGGTTAGGAGTGCAGAGAGGTGCCCTGAGAAGCACTGGGGCCCCCAGCAGACCGACCCTGCCCCTCTCCTCAGCACCACCGACCCCCCCACCCCCAGAGCAGCAGCAGGTCCCTCCCCCTGCCCGCTCCCCTGGCCCTGGGAGGGGTGGTGCAGCCTCTGCCCACAGCTCCGAGCAAGGCAAGGTGCAGGGCTGAGCTAGCCAGGAAAAAAAAAGAATGGGTTTGTGGTAATAACACTTTAAAAAATGTTGCATTGCTTAAAAAACCTGAGAACTTGCCAGTTTTGAAATCCAGGTCACATAAGGAGACAACAAACCTCAGTGCTCCTGTGTCCTGAACACAGGCCCTGCGCCCATGAGCCAACACCCTGCTGGTCTGTGGCACTCCAGAGTGAGAGAGACTGGTCCAGATGGGGAGGAATAACCCTGTACACCCAGAGAATGAACACTGGCCTCTGTGTTCCAGCTTCTGTGGGCTGCTGTCAGCTGGAGGTAGGAAACTGAGATGAAGTATGTGTGCTCTGAGAAGGGACCAACCCACCCAGGTTGGCCAGAGTTCCCTTTTGAAGCACACCAGAGACTTTCCTCTGTTTGGAACAACTGTTTGGATGCATAAAGGTTGTTCTGTGTCAGGAAGTGATTTCAGAGCCTGTTGCTGTGGTGCAGAGTGAGTTTGGCATGGTACCTACCTAGACTCATCTTCCAAAACTCTTCACACAGAAAGGGTCACCAGCAACAGCCACCTCTGCTGTTGGCAACTCCAGACCTTCAAACACCTTTCTGAT